GAAAGTAATGTGTTGTTTTATGTAACATTTGTTATATGAATTTTGTAGAAAATCTTTTAAAAAGAGAACCTAGGAGAGTAAAAATCACAGATTGGAAGGGGAAGAGGAAGAGGAAGAGGAAGAGGTAAGTGAAAAGATTGATTTCACTAGAGCCATCAAGGTCCTATAAATGATTTTGATGAAATACAAAGATTGCTCCAAGAAATAGAACCAAGCTTGAAGAGGTTTTTTGACCAACTCTATTTAGAAGCTTGGCCATTTGAACGTAATAGACCATATGAAGAGATTAATGGTGGTGTTCATGTGTTATCTTCTTGTTTTAAATAATACAAAAATTAACTCTTTTAAGTTCGACCTTGCATTCTATCTAGACTTGGTAGATACAAGTCTTGGAGTAACTACAACATCAAGAGCAGTAGACCGTAAAACGAAGCAAGTTACAGATGAACATGAGAAATATGTAGAATGCACTTACAAAATATTCAAAAAATACATTCTTGTTGAATGTTGACGATTATCATAGATTCACGTCCAGAGACAATCAGTATCCTTTAATTACCAAAACTTTGTTACTTCTAGGAACCATCTACAAACATTTTTTGCAATTACGTATAATGTGATTACACTAACTATACTAATTTGAATAATTGTAGTGTATATACTCATGTGTGGACATGGTTATCACAATCATTGTCTACAAAGATATCAATCTAAATGTTTGATATCTTCAAGTCGAAATCAAAAAAAACGTCAACACTAAAAGAAAGTATGATGAAAAATATTAAATGAAAATGAATTTATCGAAAATAACGAAAATACAGTTGATGATGATCTGGGTAATGTTGAATCAGCAACAGATGACAGCAGCAATGGAAATTTTATTAGAACAAAAATATTTTATGGGTTGTAAATTTTGTTTTTATTAAATAAATTTGTTTGATTTTACATACATTGTTCATTTTTCGTCACAATCATGTATCTTAAATTTGTTGTGTTTACAATCATTTCATTGACATTCATTATATTAAGGTTATTTTGATTACATCGAGAGATATGGTCAAGAGAAGAGTTAGGAAGAGAGTTATTCTTCGACCAAGTCAAAAACCAACCCTTTAAATACATTTTCGAGTAGTACAATTTAATTTATTAGACTATTTCTTCCAACTTCTTAAATTCGTTAACGAAACAATTGTTGGTGAAGTGATTGTTTACAAAATGAATCAAACCCATATTTATTTCTACGTTATCAAATTCACGATTTTAATTGGTCAATCAACAAAATTGCATGGGTTAAATTTTTGTGTTCCCTCCAGTTAATTTTGTGTTCCCAGTACGTTCTCTCCTGTTTATACAACGTATATATAAAATTTATTTTCCACTAAATTTTGAGCATGATTGACATTCATATGTTACACGATCACCAATATACATTTCAATTGAAGATTTTAAAGTACTATGGTGCGTATCACCTATACTCATCAAAAATTTTCATGTGACTTCTAACTGTATCTCTAGTCCATCAATTTTAAATTTTTTTAAAAAATAAACGGTGCAAAAAATACTTTAATTGATTCTCTTTCAGATTAACTTTTTTAATTGCTTAATTTTTTGGGGAGCTGATAGTGTTTAAAAATAGTCAATTTTATTAATAAATTTCATTTTGGAAGCTGATCATTACCAACCAGAATTCATTTGTTGATCATTTTATCACTTGAAAATTTCTGCCCAATGAATAAATATTTTTAATGAAACACATATGTGTAAAATCTTTAATATTAATTGTAACACATAAAATCTTTTGTTTCATATTAATTATTACAGATAAACAAAAAATGCCACCTCTTCCTAAAAGAAAAAGACAATTTA